CTCGCACTTTATATGGCAACCCTACGGCATGGTGGAAACAGTGAAATTTCCAAAGTTTTCCTGCATAACCAAATTAGCCATCGCAAAAGTTTTGACCTAAAACTTGCTCCTATAGGATGACTTTACCGCTCAATTCTATGACGATGTAGTGCTTGTCAAGCGCGGCGAATTCGTGATGTGCCCGACCGACGAGAACGTGAAGAACCCCGACTGTTCCAAGGCCGCCCACGTCATCAACAACTCGTGGGACTCTGATGATGAGACGGAGATATTCTATGGCACGACGATCGCCGCTTGGCGCAAGGCGTATATTTAGCCAATGGGTGACAAATACCTGTACGACATGATATCATGCATGCTTTATATTGGATACACTACCATATCAATGCATGAACCTGTTCACTTCATGTCGCAATCATACAATACAATGCAATGCAATCCGTCCTACCTTGGAACTTTCAATACTAAAACAACATCACAAACAATACGAATAATAGCTCACACCGTAAAGTTCCCGCTCGAAGCCCGTGTGGTACAGGGTTGATTCCATGACGTCGATGTATGCTATGCCGTATAGTCAGTGTGCATTGAAACCTCAACATGTCCGTTGTGGTATCCTAATGGGCCTTACCGAACGCGAGGCCATAATAACCTATTATTCATTGACGTTCACTATATTTTGTCTTCCAAAAGTACTTATGCCTGCTGAAAACATATACCAGGAACGCAAACGCAATTTTCTTCATTTTGACGGCGAAAGAAATGTTTTGACTGGTTCCTCGATGATTACTGGTTGGTTTAAAGTACCGTTAAACCGCGTCCTTAAATCAACGTCGAGCCATGGCCTACACCAGATACACCAACGCCCAGCGCAAGAAGTACATCGAGGGATTCGATTCAAGCACGATGTCATCCAGAGGAAACGCCAAGGCTCAAACCATAGACTGAAAAGCCTGGCTCAACTGGTTGAGCCAAAATGACTCCATCATGAATAAACCATGCAATGCAAAGATGTACACGTTGGGCAGCCAAGGTCACCATGACACCCTTCCATTTTCATCGGAATTGCTACAGTTTATGGATACGGCCCGCGAAGACGAACACCACCAATGATTCTCAGATCGCTACCAGTTTTTGCAGCAAGTACCGTGCTTCAAAAAAGTCCATTAAGCGATTCTTGCCGCGACCAAGGCGAAATTTTCTCTGTTGCCTTGTGGACACCTTTCGTGACACTGCCTCAGGTGACATTGTTACGTGGATGAATCCCCTTTTACTACGACATGCCCCCGACAAAGACTTTTGCCATAGTTGGAGGATCGTCCAAGTTGACAAGACCCAAAAACACTACGACATGATTACAACCGTCCTCTCCGTGCGTTCCAATGGTGAAAAGCCACCAATTCATTTCATCCTGAAGGGCAATTCAGGTGGACCAATCGATAACTTGGAAGTGCCGACATTACTACCTGGTCATATTTACGTCGTGCAAGAGAAAGTGTGGATGGATACAAGAGTCTGGGAACAGTGTCTGACTGAGCTGCCCAAGTTCGAAGTTGATGGGCCAGCTGTGATTTTTGCTGACAATCTTAACTGTCATGTATCTGTGGCGTCACATGATATGGTGTCGTCTGAATTGTTTAGGTTTTTGGAACCATTGCCCAAGAATTCGACAAGTGTTCTCCAACCTGGTGCCATGGGGCCATTGTAGAGAAAGCTTCGTTACAAGTGGCTTCACGAAAAGTCGGTTTTGTCTGCAGCTGAAAAACGCATGGCTATGGTTAAGCGCA